TTTTAATGACTTTCCAATAATATTTATGATAGCATTAAAAACTTCTAAAAGTCTAGTTCAAAATTAAAGTAGCGTATATATTAGTTGGGATATCTCTCCACCATCACCAATCCCTGTAGATCCTTAAAGTTTTGATTAGCCATAACTTAAAATGTCTATCAAAGAACTGTCAGAGAAATTGCTTCTGATCAGTTCAACAGTCAAGGAGGATGTTAAGAGTTTTGCAGTGGAAGTAAAGACTATTGCTATAAAAGGGAGAGATTCAAGGCAACTCCACTAAAAGAGAAATGGGAGGGTTTTTAAGTGCTGGGATGAGCTACCAGAAAAGTACTGGTGAATGTTAGTTTGAGGTAGATCAATTTGATCAGGCCATCTCTGTTTGATGATAGGTGTTCATCGAAGTTGGCTCCTGCATTCCCACAGAAACTGGAAGACAGGAGCCCTATCTTTCTTGATAATTATAGTCCAAAGCCTTGGCTCCCAGATCTCCAAGAAAATATTTCTTAGTTATAAAACTGACAAGAGGTTAGGAAAAGAGTCACATTTTACAGGGATAGGGAAATAATTGACATGTGCAACTTTTCTAAAGTAAGTAATTTAAGAAAAAGAAAGCCAGGACCCTATAGTTAAAAAAAAAAAAAACTTGTCCAAAGTTTACTCAAGCTGAGGAGAACTTTAAAGCTATCTCATTCATTACTAGCAATTGTAGCTCAAATTTTTTAGATAACATGAAACTTCTAACCTGGTTAAGTTAGATGAAGAATTATTTTGATAGTTGCTGTGAGGCTGTAGAAATTTCTGCCTGTAGCTCTCTAGTGGACCACTCATCTGAGAATGTTTTCTAAGTATTAGGTTGGTGAAAAATAATTGTGGTTTTTGCCGTAAAGTAGTGGAGTTTTTCAGTGCCATAAAAGAATGGCAAAAACCACGATTACTTTTTCATTAGCCTAATATTAATTCTGTGTGTCCTTTTATCACAAAATACATATTAATACTTAGGTATGTATTTGTTGCTACCAAAGGGAAACAATTTTTCTTCCACCTTAATATTTTGATGTAATGTAATCATTCTTATGCATAGAATTATTGGATAAAAAAATAAGTAGATCTAAGCTTAAAATTTTAATTTTGAAAAATAAATCTCATAATGACATTTGTCCTAGGCTAAAAACAAACAAACAGACAAAAAAACAAAACAAAACAAAAAAACAAAAGTTACCCAGGCACATTAAATTTTAAAGAGTTTATTTTTAAGCAAACAGGAATTCATGAATTGGGTAGCATCAGACTACAAGATCATTTAAAGCTCCATCAAAAGTGTAAGAGGGGAAAACTTTTACAAGGTGTTCATAGAAGCAAGACAAAGAAAATGATTGGTTGGAGAGAAGAATCCCGAAGTAGAGGTTAGTTAGCTGTTTCTGATTAGTTAAGCTTAAATTCTATTTTCCTTGACTTTGTTCACCCTGAGTTGGATTTTGGTTGACATAGGAACCTAAGGCACTGAAACTATTTCTACCTAATGGCTTCCCAATTAATTATTTTAACAGAATCAAGTTTGTGACAGGAAGGAGTTTCACATTAACAGGTAATATGTTCACTGTAAAATTCTATCATTCTGTTGTACTCTAGTAACAAATGAGACAAAAAAACCTTGTGTGAATATATTTTACAAAAGTAAAAACAAATATAAACCAAGAAATATTTTATATGTTGACAGTCATCAGTTGATTTTGAAAGCATTTAACCTTAGCAGTAACATAAATGTAAAGAAAAATGTTTGTTAAAACTAAGAAAAAGTTGTCTAAATTCATTTCTCCGTAGGAAATGTGAAAATTGATGATCTCTTCTCCTGCCTCCCTGTTACGCATTACAGACCTTCAGAGTTCCCAGTGAAAAGAGTATCTCTTATCCTTTATGCTGAATTTATTCTCACATAATTCATGAAGCAGAATTATAGAATTATTTCTTTACTTTCAGCTTATTTTTGTTTATTTCACACTAAAAGACCTTGCTTCAGGCAATGATCAATATCTGCTGCTTAATCTTATGTCTTCTGACTCTGTATATTGAGGTGTGTGTGTGTGTGTGTGTGTGTGTTATCTTAGATTGTGGAGATCTACCAGCCATCTCTTCAGAATCCTGCCAGCACCCAATGTGATAAGGAATAGCTATTGCAACAGGAGAGAACATCATGTAGAGCATTTATACTAGTGCCCTTTGTTGCCAGAGAAACCATGGTAAAATGAAAAATGTGAAAGAAAAAAGTTCACACACACAGGCACAGACACACACACAGTCAGTCCTCAGGTACTAACGTCATGTCATACTTGATTCTTTGCAATAAAGTTACAAGTTATTGGCTTGTTTTTCTTTTGTTTTTGATCAAGAAACTAAGAATAATATAGCTTCTAATAACATTTGAGATTATCCCTAAAAGATCTCAAAAGGAAATAAATTAAAACACTGAGGCAATTGATTAAAGAAAGGTTTCAACTACAATATTCAAATTATGTTAAAAATAGTTTTCATATACTAGTATTTTTAATTATTTCATATCACTTTTCACTACTCCTAAAAGGAAAATTTTTACTAATGTCCAAGTATTTTTATCATTTTATTGTGATGATAGATCTTCCTGGCTTATAGGAAAAATTTTAAGTGCTTACCAAATTTAACAAAGATCCAAAAACATTTTCCCCCCAAAAGTAGGTTACTTGATTTTGAGTTACATGGAATTTCCTTAGTTAATTTAAAATTAACTTAAAAATGAAAATATAAGCTGTATTAATTTACTATACATTGACATTATTTTATAAATACTGTTGCCACAAAATCAGAATCAAATTGGATAGTTGTAAAATAAATATCCTAATAAAACTATTTGGTCTGCTAGTAAATAACTAGCTAACATATATGGTATGCAGGAGCATGATATTTTTAAAGTCTGTAATTGTTCCACTCAGTTTCTATATTTTGAACTTAATCAAACACCATTAATAAATGATCACTGCCAAATTACATGACAATGATGTGATATTTTATCACACGCACAAAATTATTCTAAGCAAAACAATGTGTTTCCAAATCATAATAGAGTTAAGAAATTGTCCTGATTATTTTAATTTCATCTACTGCTGGTGAAATGTAACATTGATATGACTAGTTTTTAAAATTTGGGCATAATTTTTTATATTTTTTGACCCAACAATTCCATTCTTGGAATAATTTTCAGGAAAAATCCTGCCAAAAAATAAAATGAAGTGGACATATAGAAAATGGTCAGTGTTTCCTTACTTATAATGGAAAAGAGGAAAAAGAAATTGAAATTATGAATGACTTAGGGCAATGAATAAGTATGGACCAACAATCTGCTGTGATAATATGCATCCTTTTTTAAGACCTCAATCACATTGGACTCTCCCCCTGAGACGTTGATCATCATCTGTGCAGGTCTGCCCTGCCAACCCTGACTCAAATGCACTCTCACACCCATTACACTGATTCAAGTGGGTTAGGGATGGTCGTCAACTGCTTTCAGAGGGTGATTGCAGCTAACTGATCATAACTCCCTGTAACTATCCACATTTATTCAGGCTGGATTTAATAACAGAGGTTCTAAGTCAACATGCTTGTGGATAATTAACATGGTTAAAATAGTGGTTTTACAAATGATAAAAGCTTTAGGTTCTGGGGTTCAGAGTAAACATCATTAATAGATAATTCCCCTTTGACCTTCCACTAAGAGGACCATCTAGCACTAAGTTTACATGAGCAAACAAATTAGAGACAAAGGAATGTGGGGTAAACAGACTTCACTGGAAAAGCCTCCATTGTCCCTATCTTTTTCCTTCTGCTAACATAATGAACCAGCAGCCTTTAGCCTATCCCAGTAAAACCTTTCAGATTTCCAAAAAGTTTGAGACTATAGTCTATAACTTTCCCCAACATTTCCCTAATATTTTGCCAGCCACCCTGGGTGAATCTCAACACTTTATGTATTTTAATTGCTAAGAAAATGCATCATCTTTGGAAAATTATTTCAGAAAGACTACTATTCTATTAATTGTAATTTCAAGAATCTGTCTTCCATGCTAAATAAGAGAAATACCTGTGGAAGATTTTTTTGTTTCTTCTTTTTTGTTTTGTTTGTTAATAATACACATAGGTAAAACTTATTTTTAAAATGATATACATGCCTATGCCTCATCCCTAGAAGCCCTTAATTTCAAAAGTTAAATGTTGCATACAAGGATTTATATTTTTTAAAGAGCTGCAACACTTTTTTGACATCAAGCCGGGATTAAAGACCAATATATTAGATGGAATTTTTCAGCACAGACATTCATCATTCCGCTGTTCAAGTATGCTTCTATCAGGATGTAAATAGAACACAGGCTATGAGCAGAAAATAAAGTAAGACTATAAAGGTAGATGGAGACCAAATTGAAGCATAAGTTATGTGATGTTAAATACACACATATGTTAACAAAATGAGACAAAAGGGAAAAAGGCAAATTGACAAAATTTTATGTTTCACCTTGCCTGGGCCATTGGATGCCCAGATATCTGGTTAAATAATATTGCCAGTATGCCTCTAAGGGTGTTTATAAAAGAGAATAGCATTTGAATTAATAGACTAAATAAACTAAGTTGCCTTTCCCAGTGTGAGTGGGTATTATCCAATTTTTTCTGGGCATAACAAGATTTAAAAAAGGATAAAGGAAATGAGAATTCACTCTCTCTTCCTGACTTTTTGAGCTGGGACATTGATCTTCTGAGGCCTTTAATAATTAGTATTCTTGGCTCTCAAGACTTCAGACTCAGACTAAAACTAGTCTGCTGGCTTTTCTGGGTCTCTGACATACAAGCATAAAACATCTCAGCCTTCGTAACAATATGAACAACTTCCTTGTAATACATCTTTATATAGGATATATATATATATATATGTATATATATATATAATCTCCTATTGGTTCTGTCTCTCTGGAAAACCCTGACTAATGTAGACCCTATTACTGAGGGTGGTTCTAGAGAAACAGAATTTTAAGAATGAGGTTTCTATATTGGTTCTTGGATTTTTGGAACTGACTTTCTAATCTGATTAGGTTTGAGGATGTGAAGACTATTTTCAGTAGTAAAGAGAGCATTGCTGTTCCTTGGCATTAACTGCTGAGATATTATATGAACTACCTACATACAGCATTTTTAGTCAACCACTTATAAGAAGCAAAGAGCTGGGTGACTGTGTTTAATACTTTCAAGCATTTTTGGAAAAATAACAAATACAGTGAGATTAACTGACTGCTACTAATGTGACTGAAAAAGCAGTGAAAGAAAAAAATGATCACAAAGATTCAAACTTCAAGCTCAAGTATGACATAAATGACCTGATGATATCCATGTGTGCACTGAAAAAGACCCTTATCTGCTGTAGCCAGAAGGCTGAAATTGCTGAAAATCAGATGAAGAATCTCATCCTGTAACTGGCTGAATTACAATGGAAATTGAACTCCAGTATTGATTAGGAAAAAATGGGATCCTGTTAATTGGGATGGTAATCTGTGGGAAAACACTGATGAAGCTGGGAACATCAGTCTGCTAAATTCTGAGTCTTTTCTGCCAGTGAGAAATGTGCCCCTACCTGCAGGAAGAGTGACCTCCCATTCCATGTCCTCCCAACTCCCAGCAGTATCAGTCTTTCCATCCTTTTCTTGTCTGAGGAAATGAACCCTGCATTGCCTACGGAACCCATAATGACCTTCTCTGAGGTAGTTGCCATTAAAAGACATTGCTGATTGTCTTCAGGATAAGCCCCCACCAGCCCTATTTCTTCTAGACCTGTAACTACTCACAAATCTCAGCAGATCTCCAAAGGTGAGATACAAAGTATAACTGATGAGGAATTATCTTACACTCCAAAAAAGTTACTTGAGTTTTCTAATTTCTACAAAAAGAAATCCAGGGAACATGTATGTAGAAATGGATACTAAGAGTATGGGATAATGTGGGAAACAACATATAGTTAGATTAGGTCAAATTTAAGATAAAAGATCACTAAGCAGAGATTTTGCATTTAATGTTGATGTTGGGGGAAATTAAAAAGGATTCTAACAGTTTTGTTGGTTGGTTGGCTAAAACATGGACCAAAACATAGCCTGCAATGAGCAAATTAGAAATGCCAGACCAGCCTTGGTTTAATGTAGAGAAAGGAATTTAACAGCTTCAGAAGATTCGAGTGTTAGAGGAGATTTTGTCATTGAAGATCTACTCATTTACACTGGAAGGGTCCAGAAGACATACATTTCTCTACTAGTATGAGAACCAAATTTGTGAGGGGAGCCCTGGTATTTTGGAATTATTTTGTGATCACTCTTTTAGGCAAGACCTGGGAGTGGGAACTACAGCCAGTAAATCAGGAATCCTAAATTTGATGGGAGTAATTGATTCCAGCGTGGAAGGATTAAAGCAGTGGCACTCAGTCATCAAAGGAAAGGTAAGTGTAGTTGCCATAATGAATAGCAGAGACAAAGCAGCAGTAAGAATAGTATGACTCCTACACACCTATTGCAATGGCTCGTTTATCATTGTGTTCCTAGAAATAAAATAAATATTCCTGTTTATTCCTACTAAATGGTTACTTGATCTATATAAGCAGAAAAGTTTTAGGTGAATGAAGTAAAGTCTAACCTGAATCATCAAGACAGAAACTGAGGCACTGTTTCTCAACCAATTCTCAGAGTTGATCCAGTTTACAGATCCAAAGTCTTTCTCACTCTGTCACTCAGGCTGGAGTGCAGTGGTGCGATCTTGGCTCACTGTAACTTCTACCTCCTGGGTTCAAGTGATTCTCCTGCCTCGGCCTCCTGAGTAGCTGGGATTACAGGTGTGTGCCACCACATCTGGCTAACTTTTGTATTTTTAGTAGAGATGGGTTTCACCATGTTAGCCAGGCTAGTATTGAACTCCCTACCTCAAGTGATCCTCTCACACCACTTCCCAAAGTGCTAGGCTTACAGGTGTGAACCACCATGCCTGGCCCACATCCAAAGTCTTTTGAACAAAGGGGAAGCCAGGTACCCTTGAGAAAGGATCCCAGTACACTACCAACAATTTATATTGGAGATCATTCTCCCAGATTTCCCCAAAGAGACCTATGACCTTTTATCAGGGTAGCTGTGCCCTAGGGGAAAAGGAACTAATCAGACCTTTAAGAGGATACTAGACACTAGCTGACTGACACAAATTCCAGGAGACATAAAATGTCACTGTGGTCTAACAGTCATATTGTGGGTTACTGAAGTCAGCTGATGAAGTTTTAGCTCAGGTCTATCTCACAGTAAGCCCAGGAAGTCCCTTACCCCATCTTTTGGTTATTTATTCAGACTCAGAATGCACAGTTGGAATAGGTATGCTCAGTCTCTGGTTCCCTGACATGTGGAGTGAGGGCTATGATGGTGGGAAAAGCAAGTGGAAGCCATTAGAAATACCAGCAAACTAAAAGCAACATTCCATTCCTGTAGAAATTTCAAAGATTAGTCCCACTGTTGGGGACTCGAAAGACACAGGGGTGCTGATCCCTACCCACATCTGCATTTAACTCTCCTATTTGACCTGTGCAGAAGAAAGATAGATCTTGGAGACTAACAGTGACTTACTGTAAGCTTAACTAGGTAGTGATTCCAATTGCAGTTGGTATATCAGATGTAGTTTCATTGCTTGAGCAAATTAACATATCCCCTGGTGCTTGGCATAGAACTATTAATGTGGCAAATGCCTTTTCTTTTATCCCTGTCAATAAGGTCCACCAGTAGTAGCTATTTGCTTTTTGCTGACAAGGCCAGCAACACACTCACACTGTCCTGCCTCAGGGGTGTATCATACTCTCCAGCCCTATGTCATAATTTACTTTGCAGAAATCTTGATCACCTTTTTCTTCCCTAAAATATCATCCATCAATTACATTAATAGCATTATGCTTATTAAACTTAGTGAGCAAGAAGTAATGACTATTTCAGACTTATTGGTAAGACATTTTCATGTCAGAAAGTAGTAAACAAATCTGACAAAAATTCAGAGCCGTCTACCTAAGTGTAATTTCTAGAGATCTGGTGATACAAGGCATGCCAAGGTATCTTTTCAAGGTGATGAATAAGTTGTTGCCTCTGGCCTCCTACAACCCCAAACAAGGCAAAATCCAGAGTGGGTCTCTTTGGATTTTGAAAGCAATATATAATTTGTTTGGATGTGTTACTCCTGCCCATTTACTTAATAATCTGAAAAACTGCTACTTTTGAGTGAAACCCAGAAAGACAAGGCTTTGCAACAGGTCTAGATTGCTGGGCAATCTGCTCTGCCACTTGGGCCGTATGATTCAGCAGATTCAATGGCAAATTCAAGGGTAGATTGGGATGCTGTTTGTGCCTTTGGCAGGAACCCATAGGTAAATCACATCATAGACTCTTAAGATTTTAGGGCAGAGCTTGGAGTCTTCTGCAGATAACTACTTTCCTTTTGAGAAACAGCTCTTGGCCGGATACTGGGCATTAGTAGTGACTAAACACATAACTACGGACCACCAAGTTACCATGCAACCTGAGCTACCTGTTATGAACTGGGTGGGTTTGCACAGCAGCACTTCATCAGGAGTGCTGTATAAGTAATTGAGCCTGAGGCACAAATAAATTACGCGAAGAAAAAGCCAAATGCCCGTGGTTTCCACTGCTGCTACACTGCCTTCTCTCTCCCAGCTGCCTGCACCTGTGTCTTACTGAAGAGCTTCTTAATATCAGTAACGAGTCAAGAGAAAACTCTGGGCTGGTTTACAGATGGTTCTGTAAGATATGCTGACATCACCCAAAAGTAGACAGCTGAAGGATTACAGCCTGTTTCTGGGACATCCCTGAAGAGCAATGGTAAGGGAAATCTTCCCAGTGGACAGAACTTTGAGGAGTAAATCTGGTTGTTCTTCTTGCTTAGAAAGAGAAATGACCAAATATGTGATTATAAACTTAATACATGGCTCTGGGCAGTGGTGTGGCTGGACAGTCAGAGAATTAGAAGAAACATGATTGAAAAGTTGGTGATGAGAAAATTGGGGGAAGCATATGTGGTTGGGCTTTTCTGAATGAGCAGAAGAGGAAGATATATGTGTTGCATGTGAATGCTTACCAAAGGGTGACCTCAACCTAATAAATTTTTCATAATGAAGTGGATAGGATGACCCATTTTGTGGCTACCAGTCAGTCTGTTTCCCCAGCCACTTCCTGTTATCACTCAATGAATTCATGAACAAAGTGGCTATGGTGGTGAGGATGTAGGTCACATATGGGCTTGACAACACAAACTTCTATTCACCAAGCTCAGCTTGGGTACAGCCATTGCTGAATGCCTAACTGGCCAGCAGCACAGATCAACACTGGTCTCCAATAAGGCACCATTCCTCGCCATAATTAGCCCACCAACTAGTGGTAGGTTGATTATACTGGACAGCTTCCATCATGGGAGTGGCAGCATTTAGTTCTTACTGGAATACAGATTTACTCTGGATATGGATTTGCCTTCCTTGCACTCAATGCTTCTACCTAAGCTACCATCCCTGGAATTACAGAATGCTTTATCTACTATGTGCTTTCTACACAGCATTTCTTCTAATCAAGAAACTCTCTTCACAACAAAAGAAGCAGGATAGTGGCCCATGCTCATGGAATTCACTAGTCTTACCATTTTCCTGGCCATCCTGAAGTGCTGGTTTCTGAGATAATGATGAATGGCCTTTGGATACTCAGTTATAGCACTAGCTAGGTAGCAGTACCCTGTAAGGCTGGGATGAGGTTCTCAGAAGGCAATGTATTTTCTGAATTACCATTCAATATATTGTGCTGTTTCTTCCTCAGTCAGAATTCATAGGTCTAGAAGTCAAGTGGAGGAAATGAGAGTGGCACCACTCACTCTTACTCCTAGTGACCCAGTAACAACATTTTTGCTTCCTGTTTCCATGACCAAATGCCCTCTTGGCCTAGACGTCCTACTTCTAAAGGAAGAAATGTTTTCTTCATGGGACAAAGCAATGATTTCACTGACATGCAAGTTACATGCAGTAACTCTCTTCTTTGCCTTTTGATTCACAGGCATGATGACTCAAAAGGCAAAGAAGAGAGTTACTGTGCTGACTGGGGTGATTGACCCTGACTACCAACACACAGTTGGACTACTGTTCTGCAATGCAGGCAAGGAAGAATATGGCTGGAACATAGGAGATCTCTTACAGTGTCTTTTAATGTTACCATATCCAGTGATTAAGGTCAGTGGAAAACTACAACAACCCAGCCCAGAAAGTTTGGGTCACCCTACCAAGTAAAGAACCACAACCAGCTGAGGTGCTTGCTGAAGGTAAAAGGAATACAGAATGGGTGGTGGAAGAAGGTAGTAATAAGTACCAGCTGTGACTTTGTGGTCAATTACGGAAGTGTAATTGCCATGAGTATTTGCTCCTTCTTTTGTTATGTACATTGTATGTATGTATATGCAAATCTTTGTTTTCTCTCATTTCTTTATCATGCAACATGATATGTTTTGACTTTATGTTGTAGTATTTAAGTATTATTAATTTTATATAAGAATGTTTCAGTTACAGGATTTTAAAGAAGAGTAGTTATCACTCAAGGACTTTATCATCTCTTCTGGGAAAGGGTTTAGTACAGTTTTGGGCAAAAACATGATAGTTGTATTATATTAGGCAGAATTATGGCCTTATTGTTGCATTTATTTGGAGATTATGGTTTAAGGAGTTGTTTTGGGGTACCAAGTTGACAAGAAATGGACTTGTGATGGTTAATTTTATGCATCAAATTGAAAAGGACAGACATCTAGTTAAACATTATTTCTGGGTGTGTCTCTGAGAGTGTTTCTGGAAGAAATTAGAACTTGAATCAGTGGACTGAGTGAAGCAGATTGCCTTTCCCAATGTGGGTGGTCATGATCCAATCTGAGTGCCTGAATGGAACAAAAAAGTAGAGGAGGAAAGAATTCACTCTTTCTGTCGGGCTGTTTGACCTGGCATGTCAGTCTTCTTCTGTCCTTGGACTGGGACTTACATAAGTACTATTGGTTCTCAGGCCTTTGGATTTGAATGGGAATTTACACCATCAGTTCTCCTGATTCTCAGGCCTTTAAAGTCAGACTGAAATATACCACTGGCTGTCCTGGGTCCCTAGCTTGTGGATAGCAAATTATGATTATAGTACTCCATAATCTCATGAGCGAATTTCTTATAATAACTCTATATAATTGTGTATGTGTGTGTCGGGGGGTGAGTGGGTGGATGGGTGTCTCATCCTATGAGTTCTTTTTCACTGAAAAATGCTGTTGAATACAATGTCCAGTAGGTGAATTGATACGCTGTGGTACATCCACAGAATACAATATTATTCAGTGCTAAAAATAAATGAGCTATCAAGTCATGAATAGACATGGAAAAACACTAAATGTATATTACTAAGTAAAATAAACCAATCTGAAAAAAAAAAGACTACAAACCATATGATTCCAACTATATGACATTCTGGAAAAGGCAGAAGTGTGGAGACAGTAAAAAGATGCCCCCACCCCTAAAATTAAGGGGAAGAAGGGATCAATTGGATTAACACAGAGGATTTTTAGGGTAAACTATTCTACATGATACTACAATAATGGATACATGTCATTATACATTTCTCAATATCTATAGAATATAGAGCACTTACAGTGAACTCTAATGTAAACAATGGGCTTTGGGTAATAATGATGAGTCAGTGTAGTTCATCGGCTCTCTGATTGTAACAGATGCACCTCTGTAGTGTCAGATGCCCACAGTGAGAGAAGCTGTGCATTTATGGGGGCAGGGCTACATGAAAATCTTCTATTCAATTTTTCTGTGTGGCTAAAACTTCTTTAAAAAAATAAAGTATGTTTAAATAGATGAATGTTAGGTTATCTGGGGTTCACAATGGAGGTGACCACATCCTTTGACACCTTAGTATTCAAATTGCATATTCAGTTATTGGCCACTTTGACATGACAGTATGATAACAAAATCAATCTTGTCATATTAATTCTATCAAATTATTTAATTTTCAGGCAATAGTAAAAAATATATCCTATGAACAAAGTTAGTTTAGAGAAGAACAGGGAATTACAACATTTAAAATCAATATTAATGGCACTGAACTCACATTACAGAACATTAGCATATATCTATAGTTAAAAACATTTGGGCATTTAAACAATTAATTAAATTTTGGCAGTGGAAATTGGATGGAAGAAAGACAATTTTTTTTGTAAGAAAAAATTTACATATTTTAATCATCTTAAATGTCTATGGATTTCAATAATTTAATAGATTCATTTAGCTCTAAATGTCTTCAAGCATGTCATAAATCCTCTGAAATCTCTACTTTGTAATGTAGCCTGTTAATATTCATTATAGTCTGACAATATTCATTGTCTTTCTAAGACACTTTTGCTATTCTATTAGTCGTCTGTCTTGTGATTTATTTCAAAGATAAAATGAATGTCTTAACTTTTCATTGATGAATTTTTAATCCTAATTTTCTAATCAAAATTTGATGGCAATCATTATCCATTACAATGCATTATTTCCCCTTCCTACCCATTTTTCCTTTTTATAGTAACTTCAACATCCTGACAGCATCATTAAAAATATTTTATCAGTAATTATATTTGGACAGATTCCATTTTCTAAACTGTTTCTTAATATTCTCTTAATAATCAACATGGATCATTTTTAGACGCAGAAAAGGTATAGAAAAGATTTTGCATAGTCAAAAGTGTTGAAATCTTCAGTATTTTATTCTGTCTTTTATCTCACCCCTCTTCTACCCCGGGATGGTGACACAGAATTTTATAGAGAGAACTTACATGTATCTCCACAATATAAATGGAAGACCAACTATGTATGGTACACTTCTGAAAAAGAGGCCCGTTACCCAAAGGTGAGACCGAAGCCATCATTGATAGGGCATTTATGACTAGAGGCCCAGTAAATATTGAATCCACAAAAAAGTATGACAGGGAACATTATCTGTGGCAAAAATATAAATGAACAGTTCTGCCTCTCTCATCCTTACCTTTTATCACCGATAAAATGTAAACAAAATTATCTGCCTTTAGAATTGCTGTGATGATTAACTTGGAAAATATAAGTAAAAATTCAGCACTTTGAGAGGCTGAACAAGAGGATCACTTGAGGCCAGGAGTTCGAAACCAGCCTAGGCAACATAGCAAGACCCCTATCTCTATAGAAAAAAAGAAAACTTCAGCACCAATCATAAATACTTTGTAAATGTCAGTTGCCATAATACTTAATACTTTTTAATTCTCAGAATTATGAGAGAAATGTAGGCAGATGAAGGAAGAAGAAAACATTGGCTACATGCCTAATACTTGAATATAGTTAGAACTGTGTATGTTGTTAAATCCTTTTATCCCAAATTCTTCATTGCATACCAGGATCTGGAGTGGTACCATAAAACGTAAAAGTAGTAAAGTCTGTTGAAAACTACACCACAAAGAAAAGAGCCAAAAAGAGAATTTTGAGTAATTTAATCAATAAGATTCAAGTTTGTCCCCAGCTCATTTGCCTTTTATTCTGCATTTCAATTAGTTACATTTCCACTGGTTATCACCAAGGTTGTGCATGCGCCTTGAAATGTTCACAAAAGGTCCACGATACAGGGGTTTATAATAGTATGTGTTATATTCAGAATCCCAGGGGAACCAATAGACTCTGGAAGTATTGTTTAAGCAAGATGAAAAAATCTTATACAGTTTCAGCTACAACATTTTTAAAGACAAGTACAAGCTTCATTTGCCACAAAACTCACAAAAAATTGATTGAAGAATATCTCTTTTATGTAAAATATACATTTTAGGATATAATTTAATTAATATTCTACTATATACTGACATTGCTCCTTGATCATTGAATAAAAAAATACTCTCATTGCCAGAATTATATTTTTGTAATATTTATAATTGAGGTAATAATGATAAAAGACTTAAACTATGAATAAATGTTGGTGAGTTTCATTTAAGCTCTAACAACTTCCCAGAACTAAACAAATGTGTGACTAAACATAGGTCATTTTTGGTAAATGAATACTAACAATTTCACAACATAATTGACAATCTGATTACACAAGTGATTTATAAGAAAATGATATGATCAAGTTGATAGATTCAACCAACAAAGTAGAAATAAGAGAAGTTAAGACAGAACTATACTACATCAGTATACTGCCTTAGGTAATTCACAGTACAACCTACTGTGGGCCCATGAAGAGTAAATCGAAGAAGTGTGGGCCTTACTTAGAACTTCAGAGATGTTGATCATGAATTTGGCTTATTTTGATGAGAAATGGCCAAGACTGTTGACCCATGCACATGTGTTGGTATTTACAGTTGTTTCATGGATGCTGGCCAGTCTACAAGCAGAGCACTCGCATGGGGAGCACCAGGTGAGTTCCAGCCACAGTTCTTTTATAAGCTTTTAGTGCCTCATGAAGACGCGGGGATCTCTTCCTAGTACAACCTGGTCACATCAGGGCACATTCAGCAGCAGAAGTCTGTTTCCAGTATAGTCCTTGGTATGGCTAAATTCCACTGTCCCTTTCTCAGCAGTCAAAAATCCATGACAAATTCTGTACAACACTGTAGTCTATAACAGCAGCACCAGACAGCATATTAATTCTTTTACCATAAATTTGTGTGTAATTATAATGTTCTATGTGTGGTGTTATCAAAAGAATCACTGTGTCTCTAAATATCACATATGTATGTCTGGATAAATACATTGCTGTACAAGATCTCCGACATGCAGGTCATGCTCTAGTACTTGGGGATATAGAGTAATACATGTTTCGTGGCCAATAATAAAAGTGACAACTGTCTTCCTAACAAAAAATAAACACAAGAAATAGGAATTAATCATCAGTCTGAAGGATCCCAAATGCCTTAGTAATATTAATTATCCCTCTACTTATATTATGGCATTTTTCTTCCCTCACATGCTCAGTAGACCAGACACACTATTGCTGTTGAATTCATAGGAAAGCATAAATAGACTTCCACTCAGACTGAATATGACTCCCTAAAGATTTTGTTAGAGTGTAGTAATGAATGCTGGTTGCTAGGTAGTAGAAACTGACACTGCAGCAGGCAACAAAGTGCAATGGTGAAATTGCTGCTTAAACCCTGCTTATCAAAAAGATTTACAGTGCAGATTAACTTAGGTAGTCTACAGGGCATTATTAATTTGTACACAAAGCAGAGAGGCTGCTCCAAATAGCAAAAAATAGGTATGGGGTAGAGGTTGAAGGGACTCGATATTAAAATTATGAATATCTTACAGAGGCATTTCTGTGCTTCATGAAGACATATGGCATATACAGTAAAGACAGGGAGCTGAGACAGACAGACAGGAACAACATATAGGACAAAGCACCTGATTAAGCACTGCCTGAAAACCTGATTAATCTTTTGATTCAGAAATTTAAGGCTAGTCAAAAAAGCCTCTGTGAACATCAATGACTTTTGATGTTTGCACAAAATAATTAATAAATAAAAATAAAACAAAGGGGTAAAAAAAAAAGGACACCAGAGCTTTGGGTGATATTTGGCACTCTGCCTCTGAAAATGATAAATCCTGGGGTTTAAAAAAAAAAAAAAAAGCAAGTCTAGTACCAAGCAGCAATTCCTGGCTAAACAATGCAAGCCTGGCTGGCAGTTACCTTTCTCTCATGTTTTGTGCCTTTCCCAAGTCATTAAGTAAGAGATCTGGCCTCGGCTTTCATGTAACCAGTAATGACAACCTCTTTGCAGTTATCTGTGTGCAAATAACCAGAGACATTCAGGACTCCAATACAGCATTTTTGAAGAAAAGTAAATTAATCAAGAAATTAAATATTTAAAACATATAATTCTTTAAAATAATAAGAAAAAAAATGTCAAGGAGAAACTTGCCCTCCCTGCCCCACAATTCAACATGCAGAACAGTTGACCAATGCTTTTATATTAGCAGGATGGTTCAATGCAAGTACACATATCCTGAGCTATCCACAGTCCCCAAACTCTGCAACATTGCTTTCAGGTGATAGAGACAAGATGGTCCATGCAAATGAGCTGACCAAAATCATGTTGTGTGCAATCAAGATAGGATCCCATACATCTTCAGAATGGTTTACAGTCACAAGAAATAAAGTTCCAGTGAAGTGGTTGGCATTTGGAAGCACACTGTTTTAAATATATCTCCCTGAAGATATGTTTATATATTAGTGCACTGGTCAATATCTGACACTATCTGTCATTTTATTGCAAAAGGAGATCAGGGCAATTAATAGGAGAAGTCTTAGCACTACTTCAGACAATCTTTAAAGCCTGAATAAGATTCATTAGCTACCCAAGTGGCATTTCTGACTTCAAATTGTAATATCATGCAAGATTTATACTGTATTAATGGAACCTGGAGTAACTCTACGTTTAATTATTTCCATTATGGGGTAAACAGTACTTGAATTAATACAATTTAGCCGACTGATGCAGTTTGGTTTACAAGATAGATGGAATGGGAGATCGAGAGCGCCTCAGAGGACAAGGAGAGTTGTAGGGTGATGTTACTGGAGAGAGCCTCAGAGCATTGCCTGCCAAGCCCGCTATGTTGTTTAAGCTTCGGGATTTTTCATATCCTTTTATGAAAAAATGCACAGACATCAGTTGAATTCAACCAGAATATAGACAGACAAATAATACCATGCAGGGTAATCAAAAGTGCTATTTTCAAGCTCAAAGAAGAATTTGTTTACAAAGAATTTAATATTGAGACAATTTATAGCTCTAAAAAAATGAAGCTCATTATAGTTGACATTTTGAAAAGATTAAACCAGCCATAAAAATTATGGTTACAATACTTTAAAATCTATTTTTTCCCAGATTATAGTGTTAATGTATTTTTGGCATATAGAATACTAGAACTCATTTAAGAATTAGGCAAAGCAACTTAAGTAAGATATAAGCTTGACTAATATTTTTAAATTTCAGAATGTGTTCTGGAAAAAAAGAGAAATAAGTAGGCTACTTTTTCTCTTTTCATTTTTTATTTCCTAAGCTAATAAAGCATACTTAAGTTTAAATGGACAACTCTTTTTCCAGCATATTTAATCTTCCAGCTTTATAGGGTTAAAAGATGATTCTTA